CTACACCAACAACAACAACAAACTATTGTATATTTATATAGAATATATATGTATATATATATAAGTATGTATATATAGAGAGTAGAGCGCAAAGTCAAAGTCGCTGCGAAATGTTATCGAAATGTTATTGAACACGAAACATCATCGGCGATAAAGACGTGAGCGACACAGCTGCGGGGGCGGGTTGCGGGGGCGCTGACCCCGCCTCCTGTTGCGAAGATGCGTCTTGTTTTCTTACTTATGCGCATATATTTACTGGAATATACAATATACCCAAGTGCAAGCCATATACATATATGTATTTATCAACAATTGAATTGTGTATAGATTCTGAATGATGCACTTTAAGTAGGGGTATTCCAGTTATGTGAGAGCAAGTGTAACGCCTTGGGAATAAGTTAAACTTTTTTATTTTAGTAAAGTTTACTTTGTTTAAAACTCAATCTATTTTAATCAGAACAGTACATAACTGTTGGATATATATGTATAGATATGCATGTATGTAATATAAGACTGATTGATTGATTAATGGACCCAAGATCAATTCCTAGGTCAAAAGGTAAGAGCTACTGTGCTGCATTTTTCTCAGCCTCTTGACTCAGACATAATAATCAAAAACTCACTTTTATTATAATATTAATGCCAGAGATTCTGTGAAACTTCTAAAATGTTCCAAGCTTTTGGAGAGAAATTACTTTACGTTCAGATCGAGTGAAGGGTGATTGCGATATTTGTACCCTTGTCTAAGTTATTAACATTTTTGTATGTAATATGTAACGCATAGAAAAAGACATCTCCGACCCCATAAAGTATATACATTCTAGATCAGCATTAACAGTCGAGTTGATATAGCCATGCCCGTCCATCTGTCCGTCCATCCATCTATCCGTCTATCTGTCTGTCAGTTTCTATGCGAACTAGTCTCTCAGTTTTAGGGCTTTCGTCTTGAAACTTTGCATAGGATCGTCTTTCTGATGCAGGCAGTACATATGTCGACACCGGCCGAATCGGACCACTATATCTTATAGCTGTCATAGGAACTATCAGTAGAAAGGTAGGTTCTGATATACAAAGCAAACTCGGGGTTTATTAGTTCCACTTTGATCCTCACATATATACAAAATCTAAACGGACCACTTATATGGCTGCTATAGGAAAGATTGGTGGAATAATAGGTTCTTATATGGCAAAATATTCTGTTTTCAAAGATATTTTGATCAAACTCAGAGCTTCACTATTCTCACACATCTGCAAAAGGAAATGTCTACAAGGGTATTAAATCTTCGTCGTGCTGAAAATATGCTTACTTGGTGATACAAATTTATGTCAAACAGATATTAATTAGGAAATAAAAACACATGGCACGTACAAAGCCAGGTAATATCTGCTATTAATATATAAATCTTGTAATAAGTTATTAGATATATTCTTTTTGTTTGTGTCTCATGATATTTGAGCTATTGTTCTGATGAAAATTGACAGAGTTAAATTAAAATAGGAATAAAATTGTAATAAATATAATAAAATAATTACAAGTCGGTTCATTCTTTTAATGTACAAATCATAAAAATTGTTGCACACGTTTTTGTTTTTTTGTGAGAAACTTTTCCGCTTACAAGCAAACTCTAATATTTTTATTCAATGCTGCTCGCAATTTGGATAGTGCAGTTATCTTATCATTAAATTGGCGTATTCAAGTCAAAGCCGGGCATGTCGAATCAATTTATCATTTGAATGCGAAAGAAGCTTACCCATATAAAGATCTTTTTTCTTCCTATGTACAAATATATATATATTTATCATATAATTAACCTACTTGCTATAAACGCAAGAGTATTTAATTGTTCACACTTGAGAGCATTTTTTCCTTAGCTTTTTTTCTGTTCTTCTTTTTTATTTGTCTTTGTCTACAAACTTCGTTTGCGATTTGCCACTTGGCTGAGGCGCGTTAACATTTATTTTTACTGTTTGCCTGGCTTTTTATACGCTTTTAATCAGATACAAAGTGAACTTTTTCTACTTTTTTTTTTTATTATTTTCTTCTTCTGCATAAGTAAATACACAGAGAGAAATACAAATACAAATACTACAAAATGTATATATTTTCAATGCCAGCTGCCTTTGACAACGTTGCGTATGAGCAACGTAGTCTGACTCATGCGATCTCTTTTTTATCTGCCAGCCAACTCTCTCTATCCCTCTCTCTCGCTCTCTCTCTCTCTCGCTCTCTCTCTCTCTCTCTCGCTCTCTCTTCACTTGCTGCTGTACACATCACAAATCATTTTTATGGCGCTGCTCTTTCATTTGGCTTTTAAATTTTCGTGCCCATTTGATTAAAACACCCCTCCCCCCTTCTCTCTTCGCACATTCCACCACTCCACGCCCACCAACTCCCTTTATCCATCGTTTATCTCTTTTCTTTTATATCTCTTGCCCTGTCTTCGCTTCGCATTTCCATTTCCTTATCGTCGTATCAATAAATTAATTCGAAAACTTTGCCGCTTCCATGCCGATTGAGTTACCCTGCCCCCCCCCCCCCTTCATTCCTTCTACAACAGCCCTACGCACCCCTCGCATACCACAGCCCCGTTTGTTCTACTTCTTCTCGTACTTTTTTTTTTTAATTTTTCGTGCAAATTTCTTTCATTTTTCTTCACTCGCTTTTTTATACTTTTTGCGCTCCTCATTCGACTCGTATCTTGTATCTGTAAGTTTGCCGAGTAATTTGTGCCTCTTCTTCTCTCTTTTTTTGGAGGGAGGTGGGGGGGTTTATCAATCGACAACGACAAGCAGAGTGCGGCAGTTGTGCGCCCCCCCTCGAAGCCCACTATTTAGCCACGCCTCTGACTCTCTGTCCCTCTGTCGCGTCTCTCGCCATTTTTGGCTATTGAATTGGTTTTCGTGCTCATGCATTTTATATGAAATTGTCTGCATGTCTGGCACTGACTTGTTTTTTTTTTATTTGTTTTTTGGGTGCACTGCCACGCCCCCAGCCATGGCAAACCGCCCCCACTTAATGGCACCGAAAATAGTCGAGCAACTGCCTTACAAAATGTTTGGCGCTGCAATTAGTGGACAACATTCGTTAACCAACACTAGCAAAGGCAATGCAGGTATCTAGAGCTAACTGCGCCGCTTATCTTTATTGCAACAGGACTCTGGGTTGAGGGGTTGGGGTTTGCGTTGGGGGTCGCTCACAAAATGTGGGTGCCACAAAAAGTAACGTTAGAGAACATGTTGCATAAAATTGTAGCAAAAGGTTCGTCTTTTTTATTTTTTTTTTGTTCGTTTTTTATGCTCTTTTTTTTTCTTTCAACCATTTGAAGTAGAATTTTAATCCATGGTTTTTTAATGCGGGCGATAAACTTTTACTACAATTGTCGACAACCTAACTGTACTTGGGTGTTAGTGTGTGTGTGTGTGTGAGTGTGTGTGCGAGTTGGCAGACAACTCTGGTTAGCTCGCTCGACTGGCTCGTTCAGGTGCTACAGTTTAATTATGTGACGTCGTCGTCGTCGACGTTTTCGCTTAATGTTTTAATTAAATGTTTTATTAGCACGCTTCTGGGGCACGCCCCGTATGTGTGTGCATGTGTGTGTCTGTGAGTGTGTGTGTTTGTGTTATCGTGCCCCCTTTTTGTGTTGCCTCTATGGGTAGCTGCCTGTTAAACTGCAAACAAGCAGCGACTTCTATGTTGATTTGAAAGCGCATTTGATAGTTTAATTGGTTTTGGGAATTAGGATTTATATATACACTAACTAGTTATATTTAGAAGCTTAAGTGTGTGTAGAACATTGTCAGAGATTCCAAAATGCCGAAAAAAAGGTACCAGATCATAAAAACTCTGCTTGAGTAAAAATGGATTTATTTTGCATAGCAAATTAGTTGAGCATCTTAATCAATCATGACTAATGGAAAAAATATGCTATATAGAGCTATAATATGTGTGTTTTTATGGGCATTTGAAGAAAAACATCTAAAAAGCTGAGCAACTAGCTCTCATTATTTCTTATATTATTATTTTTGAAGAGAGTAAAGTATAGAGAATCTTACTTTAAAAATCCTAACAATCGAATGGGATTGGAATCAGGATTGTGATTCTTCAATTACCTGAAATACTGGGTCACTTGGTCAACCGCATCTACCAAGAACTGATATTCTACTGAACTTCATTTAGTTCATACTCAAGTGCGTATTTAATGTTAGCTACTATCGTATTTTTCTTTGCCTTCAGCCGAGAATAATCTGAGTTTCTACTGAATATACTCGTTATAATTCTCAAGAATCGTCGTAATCTCTTTTAAAAAAAAAATAATTAAAATATATGGAATTTCTTATAATTTGAGTTAAAAGCAATTAAAAAGTTTTTGCATTATATTTTTAGTTTGAACTTCCGCAAAATGGGATAATGAACAGAAATTGTCTATTCCCATATTAGTTCTCAGATTTTGTACTCAGCTTCCAAATTCAAACGATTTTAATGGGTTTTAGTTCTCAACTTGCAAATAATGAAGATTTCTGTAAACCTCTTTTTTCCAGAAATTAATTTAATCAAATTTATATTCAATAACTAAATTTTAATGTAATATTTTGTGGAATTTTTAAATAATTACATGGTTTTTTTTGTAAAATATACATGAGTATTTTAATTGTTCTTTTTCAGAGCTGTTTAAATATAGAATTACATTCTAGACGTCTTAAGCACATGAAAATTACGTTTGTATATTTCAGTCAATTTGAAGATTATGAATGAAATTTGTAAGATTTGGGTTTAAGAAAAATAGGCTCATATCACTGTTATATTTGTCTATTTTTTATGTGATTTTCGAACTAATCTGGAATCAAAGAGTGCATGGCATGCAAAAGACTAAGCTCTTATAGTGTACTGGTTAATAATAATATTTAGCATAATTTAATGAATGATTCTAGGGGATTTTCAGTTTTTGTCCCAATTATATTATACATATTTTTTCTGAATCTTAGCTTAGCTTCTGGCTTACCTATTTGAAGCGTGTGTTGTCAGCTCCGTTTGTACGTTTTGTTATGGGCTTTTCTTATTGCTTTTAACTGTTTATAAATGGAGTATAGAGAGGGTACATCGGAAGTTTGCGGGCTTTGTTTTCTGGCCCCATTCATGCGTGTTGCAAGTCTTTTATCTGGCATCATTTTGCATTCTTTTTCATCGGGTTTAAAGGATGAGCCAGTGTTGCAAGAGGGTGTGTGTACGTGTGTTAAGATGGCTGCTGCTGGCTTGGGCCATGTTGTGTGTTTGCTGCGGCCAACAAATCAACATCCGGTTAGCTGATACGACGCACAGCAGCCAGGCACAAACATTGCACATATGAAATTTATACTGTGCCCGCTCTCGCTCGCTCGCTGGCTCTTGCCCACTCTTTCTCTTCGTCGCTCTCACTCTCGCCCTCTCTGTCTTTCTCCCTCTCCCTCTCGTTGTCTGGGCAAGTTAACAGGCCGGCGGCGGCCGCATTTGATAACTGTAGCTGCTAACTGCTAGCTGAAGCCGCGTGTCTGTGTGTGTGTTGTTGTGTGTGTGAGTTGTCTGGCCGGCCTGCTGCTGTTTGTTGTCTCTCTTCATATTTGAGTGTGCGTGTGTGTGTGTGTGTGCGTCTGGCGATAGTCAAGTTTATTTTATTTTTATTTTTTTTGCACAAGCAACGCGTTAGCTTTATTTTGGCATCTTTGTGTTTTTTTTTTACTTTATTGCTACAAATGTTCACTTAGGCACTTTGGAGCACTGCTTTGTCTTTGTTGCTTAACACTGTCTAACTAACTGTATATGTGTGTGTGTGTGTATGTCTATGGCATTCTATGACATTTGAAACGCAGTTAAGTATGAGCTGGCAGCTTTAGACGACCGGCACAGACGAGACGCGCAGCACGAATGAATGAAGTTGGCGAACCAACGACATGGCATAGCATACAGCAGCCTCTGTCGCTGTCGCTGTCGCTGCGAGCAGTAGCAGTAACAGCAGCAGCAGCAGCAGCAGCGGCAGCGGCGTCGGCGACGGCGGCGTACGAATGACAAGACACGACGCGGCACGAGCAAACGAGCACGTTTGGCGCTCTCTCACGCGCTCTCGCTCACGCGTGTAGGTCGTCTAGAGGCCGTTGGGGCTGCCATCTGTTTGCCTTGTTTCTCTGTAGGCAACATTGCGCTCTCACGCTAGCAAAAATTACTTTACTCTTGCCGTTTAACTGCAAATCAAAGTCGAGGTCGTTGTACGAATGAAAGAATGTCGGCATGTGCTTGTTGTTGTAGCGGTTACAGGCGCGCTGCTCGCGTCGCTGCTGCTGTTGCTGCCGGCGTCGCTGCCGATGCCGATGCCGCTGCCGATACCTCTGCTGCTGCTTTGATGTTTAATGCTTGCTGCGATCCGCCATTGTTGTTGTAACTGTGCCTGCCTCATGCAGTTCTGCTGCATTATGCTGCTTTTGTCTGTGGGTGTGTGTGCTTTCTCTCTCTCTCTCTCTCTCTTTCTCTATATATGTGTGATTGTATGCTCGGCATGCCTTAACTTGACTTTCTTTTGAATAATGTTGCTTCATGCTTTCGCAGTCTTGTTCTTCATCTGCCTCCGTCCGTCCGCCCGCCCGTCCGTCCGTCCGTTCGTTCGTTCGTACGCCTCTCTGTCTCTCTGTTCGTCGTCTGTCTGTGCATTTGTCTGCTAGGCAAAAATGCTGTTACTTTTTATGTGCACTCTCTCACTCTGCCTCACAACCTTCCCCACCCCATTCCGATGTTCCCAACCAGCCAGGCACTCCTTTTGGAATTTTGCTAGACGTTTTTTTTTTGCTAACTTATTTTTTTTTACTTCTTTTTTAATACATTTTCGGCTAACGGTTTGCGGGCTGTCTTGTTTTTTTTTTTGGTTTGTTTGTGCGCCGCTTTCGCGCGTTTGTAATAAAAACTCGTTATAAGTAGAAATTCTTTAGCTCATTTTTTTGCGCTCTTTTTAGCTCTCATGTTTTTATTTCTATTTTTTTTCTCGGACTCACCTGCGACCCTTCCCCTCTCTTGGTCTTGGCACACTCATCTATTTCCATTTTTTAAGCACTCTTTGCGGCCACTTTTCTTTATTATGATACCCCCCCCCCCCCTTGCGTGCTGCTGTTCCATGACAAATGTGAGAACCGCTTTTGGCTAAAAAGCTTCGCTGAGGCGGTGGCTTAGAAGTTTGCTCGACTGGTTAACGCCCCCCACACACCAACACACCAACACACCAACACACACACACTCACCTTAGAGGTAAGCAACCACCGCTCCCCTCCATTCCTCCCGCACACCAGCCCGCAAGAGCCCACCAGCAAGTCAATTATTAGGCCAGTTGGCAAGCTAATTTGCTTATCAGCAAATGCAATTGCGCGAAAAGCGCCCCCCATGGGGGTCAAAGGGGAGAGGGGCACGTAAAATGCGCGCCAAATAAAATTGTCATTTTGCAACAGCCGCTGATAAGAGCGTCTCCCCTCTAACCATACTCTCCTCTAACACCATTTCACACACACACACACACTCTCTCTTCCTCTCCACACACACACACACACACACACAGGCTATTTCTCTATCTTTTACATTTTGCAAAAAAAAACTTTAAATTAGTTTCGACTTGCCAAAAAAAAATAAGTGCAAATCATTCTCGTGTAGAATGGGGGAAAAGGGTTCAAAACTGGATGCGAAATATTCATCCAAATCGTAGCTCCCAGTTCCAGTCGAACTATTTAACACCATTTATCGTTCGATGCAAACAATAGGCAGAAAATAAAGGGGGTACAGCATGATTAGGCACAAAAAATGGAATAATAATAAAATAAATAATAGTTGCTTGTGGTCTTTGACCTTTTAGCGGATATTACGAAAAGAGTGTTGCCTGCCTCGAGAAATTTGCGATCGAGTATTGCTCTTAATCGTAAATATTATGCAAACTAATTCATAAAAGTGTTATTTTAGTCAAAAACATTAAATAGAAAATGTTTGGTTCTTCAAATTTTTAAATAATGGAATATTGATAAAGACAACTCTGTAATAGAAACCATAAACTTAGGTTTTTGACCGAGGCTTAAAGTCCAAAAAACATTTCTGTGAGACAGAAAACTGTTTCTAAAATCCTCATTTTATCTTGATTTTGGAGAGTCTGGAAAAAGAGGATTTTTTTTACATATTAGAAGAAGCAGGACAGCAAGCCGGACTTGAGTAAGTTCGATCCCGGAACTTTAAATTTCTTATGCCTGTGCGAACCAATTCTAGAAGCGAACCATTTACTTGAAGAGATGGACACAATTTTGAAGCTTTATCAATGACAATTTGTGGATAACTATATGAATATATATATATATATATATATATATATATAACATACCGGACTTGAACCGAGTTAAATTTATTTTATCATGAACAACATCTAGAAGCGCACCACTAGCCGGGAGAAAGGAACCTCATTTTCAAGCAATGTGATATATATATTTATAGAAGTAAGTCTCACTTAGTTCTTAAGTGAAGTGGAATTCTGGCAACTTTAGATCGAAGCTTTACTAACACTAAACATAGTTTCGTCTGCTTTTTTTTTAACAAATATTTAACTTATACCATGAAAATAACCATAAATGTCTTAATCCTATGTCACGGGACCGTTTGTCCGATACATGTCATATGAAATCCCTATAAAACACATGCATATAACATTATTCCCGTTTCCTATTGCCCAAAACTTCAAGTTTCAATCATTCGATTCGCGGCGCCCATTCACGGTCGCATAGCGGTAACATATCATAACAAAACAGAAACAGATCATGTTGAATGCAAATATCGTATTCGCAATGCTCACCTGTCGGGGGCCATCCATATGAAGTGTATTACATGCAGGCATTTCCAACGATTGCAGTTTCATTACTTTAATGTTTTTGTTGTTTTCCAGTCTATCATTTCGTTATATATTTTGTTTATAAGGCAAAACGACGCGACGTAAAAGTGGAAAATGGATTTACGGCGAATTGATAACAAGACCTCGCGTTACACGGCTTGTGAGGAGTCATATACATACATAAGTACATAGATTCTATACATGTATGTATGTATGCATACATATTTTTATATAGTATTTAATAATATTGATTTAATTTCTGTTCACTCGCCTCGCAATTTTGCTGATCACCAAAAATTTGAAAATTACTTTTGTCAACTTTTTGCGCTGAGTTGGCAACACTCGAGAAACGTCTAACTGTGTGTGTGCGTGTTTGTACCGTTAGATGTGGCGTGCAGTGTGCGTATGCGCAACGTTTCGCAATAAAAACGCAACGCAGAGTTGCCCAGCTGTCGACCGTTGCGGCTGAGCGGCCAAACTCGACTGCTAGGAAAGTGCGACAGCGTCTGCGACTGTGGCTGCCTCTGCTACTGCTGCGGCTGCTGCTGACTCTGCTGCGTTGAACTGGTTGAACTGCACTTGTCGCCGCTGGGCAACCGCAGCTGGCGAATGTTGCGTTTCGACTGAATGCCAACTAGTCGGGGACTTGCCCAACGAGAACTGCTGTGTGCAAGCAAAATCAGCGACGCAGCAGCGACGTCCGCCCAACAGCTGGTGAAGGTGAAGGTGGGCCGCAGCGCAGACAAACGAACAACCGTGACGCCAATCAATGAGAGCGAGAGAGAGCACAGTGCTGCGTCGGCGCGCTGCTGCTACTGCTGCTGCAGTGCCAAGTGGCGAGGCCGAGCATTGGGCGCCAGACGATGACGACGATGGCGACGACGTCGACGTACCGTTGAGTGCATTGGCATAGTAAACTTTGCACGAGGCGCCGACGTCGCCTGCAGTTACTAAGTTACAAGCAGTGCGCGCGCGAGACAAGGAGAAAGAGAGAGAGAGAGATAGAGAAATAGAGAGAGGGAGAGAAAAAGAGAGAGAGAGAGAGAGAGAGAGAGTGCCAGACGAACTCTCATTTGCATTGTAGTTGTAAACGAATGCCGTTAGATGCGCCGCACTTGACGCTCGTTGCTCATCAACAAGTCAGCGACTGCGGCGGCGACGACGACGGCGACTGCGACGTTAACGTTAGTTACAACAAAGGAATTCCCCCAAAATTGGCAGCGCTGCCTCCAACTTTGGGACTATTACTGCGGCCAGCGCAACCAGCGGCACATAAATCATACATATGTTAAATGAACAGCTAATAATTAAAAATATTTTAAAAATATAAAAAATATATATAGTATATATACAGAAAGCCAGACGAAGAGCGCGAAAGAGAGGCCACTTGTGTGTGAGCGCAGCGTCGGCAGCGGCGTCGGCTGGCGCCATCAGCGGAAGTAAACGGAAAGCTTCAATTTAGCCGGCATTTTGCAGTGCATCCGTTCGGCTGAGCAGCGACCGAGGCGACGCAACCCAGCTCCTTTGGGGGTGGTCACTGCAAAGAGCGCGAAGAGCGCACAGGACTTAAGAGCGCGTCAAGGCGATGCTCTTCACTGGGCACGTGGGGCAGGTCAGTAACGCGAGCTGACGTTGCGACGCGTTCGCCATGCGGCGCTCAGCGTGCGACAGACAGCAGACAGGCAGGCAGCATAACGAGCAGCAGCAGTTGCCGACAGGAGCAGCTCCCCGCTCTCTTAGGCTCCCGCTCACGCACTCTTTGTTTTACTAGCCTTATTAGATTTATCGTGTTTTAGCGCTTAAGCAGATGCCTGCGCTTCCCGCTGGCCGCACTGCCTGCGCTGCCGCTGACCATAAAGTGGAACTGGGCACATTTTATGACTGCTGCTGTCGCTACCGCCGTCGTCGCCGCCGCCACCGCTGCTGCTGCGGGCTCTTTCCTCATCATTATTTGCGCCCCGAATTTTGTGCTCTTCTTTTTTTTTGTTTTATTTCTTTTTGTTTGTTTCCTTAGTCCTGCTGCAGTTTATGTTCGGCGCTGACTTTTCATTATTATTATTA